TGTGAGCTGGGCCTGTGCCAGCGCCCAGCCCTGTGCCCCAGGGGCTGCCACTCACCACAGGGGTAGCTGAGAAGCAGGATGTCATCCAAGCCCATGTAGCCGCTGCGGTCAGGGGAGACGAGGGCCTCAAACAGCACCTGGGGGAGCAGGCGGGCCTGTCACATGGCTGTCCCTCCAGCAAGCCCCTTCCTGCTTGTCCCAGTCCATCCTCAACTAGCACAGGTCAGCCCCACCCAGTGTCCCTCCCCCCAGGTCAGCGCTGGAGCCAGGAGGCCAGAGCCAGAGGTCCCATCCCAGCCCTGGACCCTGACCTGCAAGCGGACTGCCCCGCCAGTCTGTCTGCAGGCCGGCCAGACCCTGCTCACCCTCGCTAGGTCCTGAGCCACTCATGAGCAGTCCCCTCCCGGCCGAACCCGGACCTAGGCCACAGATGGCCTCTTGAGGCCGAGCAGACCAGGCCACCCTCGGCCACTCACCTCCCCACCTGCGGCCAGTCCCCACCTGCACCCTGCCCACCTGGTATTCATTGGGCCAGAAGGTGCTGACGGCCAGCTCCACCTGGTGCCACTGACGACCGTGGGATCCAGTCATGTTCCAGACGGCACTGCCCAGGGGGCCCCCATTGACCCGCACGTAGACACCCAGGGTGCCCGGGCTGTGCCCACCCCAGCTGTACAGGAGGTAGCTGAACTGCACACAGTGGGTGTCGTTCTCGCTCAGGCTTTGGAAGGTGACATGTGCCCGCTGGCCCGGGCCATGCTGGGATACGTTGACCAGCAAGTAGGAGCCTGCAGACAGAAGGCGGCAGAGCTGAGGCCTCAAGAGGGCCAGTTCCAGGTGGGCAGTGAGGGGCACGGCACGGGACCCCTGGTGTCCAGGCCCAAGGGTTCTAACTCTGGGCATGCAGCTCCGCCTCCAAGCACCTGCTCCTCTGAGGGTTGGAGCCCCAGAAGCCACGCAAACCCAGCTTCATGGACACACTGTGGCCTCTGCCCACCCACAGGTCCAGGCCACGCCCTCCCGAAGGCCACCTCTGCCTCAGCCCTCCCTCCCTGACCTCGGGGCTACTCTCCTGGCCTCTGGTCACTGAGAGGGGGTCTCCTACACCCCTGCCCCGCACAGGCTCGGAACCCAGGCTGAGCGGCATGTGCCAGCCCCATGCCCGGGGCAACTCCTGGGGTATGAATTCTTTTCATTTCCCACCTGGGGAAAGGCAGCCCTGGCCCCTACCGAGATCCAGGCTGTGAGCTGGGGGAGGGGCCTGCCTGGGCTAGGGGGGTATGGCGTCCCTCCCGGGGGCAGAAGGCAGCTGCCGCCAAGGCCAAGGACGCCAAGAACCCCTCGGCCAGCCCCAGCTGGGCTCACTGGGGAGGGAGGGGTCTCAGTCTGGCTCCTAGGTGAGCCAGAGCCCTGAGGGCAGAGGAGTAAACACCGCCCCAGGTGGCCTCCCTGTGGGGACACACCCCGCCCACACACTCTCCTGGCCAGTCCTGCTGCCAGGACTGCCCATTCTACCCTGACCGTGCTTCCTCTGCTATCCCTGCACCCCTCCCTTCCCTTCACTCCCATTTGTCCCCATGGCCCTACTCCTCTCTCCCATTCTCTGTCTCTGAGTGTGAATCTTCCTCCACCCCAGGTAGGGGACACTGCCCGCCTGTCATCCTGGTCCAGCACATGCACACCTGTGCCCACACTGAGTTTCTCTCCCCTTCCTTCTGGGTAGGAAAGGCAGACCCCAGCACAGCAAGTGGTACAATGGCTACGTCGCTGGACTCCCATGTAGTCGACTGTGGTTCGAGTCCTGGACCCAGTGACTTAAAACGTACCAGGCGTGTATGTGTGCGTGCCCAAGATCCAGAGAGAACGGAAAAGGTATTGCAGCGAGGCCATCCTCCCTGGGGGTGATTTCTTGCTTTCTGTGTTTCTGTCTCTCTCTGCCTCTCTGGTGAGCGCACGCGCCCTATAGTGAAAATCTCTCTCTAAAAAAAAAAGGTAAGGCCGAGTTCACGCCCACGGTTGGCTGGGAAGGTCGTGAGACTCGGTCTGCTCTCCTGCTCTGAGAGCTCGCCTGAGGATTCCTAGAGCCCGCGGGACCCTGTCTGATGGGCACCTTTATGAGTCACAGGCAGGGCAGACTGGCACAGAAGTGCCCTGGACAAAGGAGGGCCTGAGGGACCTGACAGGCAGAGACAGAGGCCGGGAAGGGCGCATGAGTGGACAGGAGGGAAGGCGGGTGGCCCACCTAGGTCACCCCTGGTCTGCACACACATCTGACCCCTGTGCCCATGGGGCCTCTCCGCTATCGCCTCTTCCTGGCCTAGCCCTAGGAACTCTGCTACCCCACCCCACCCCTGACAGCAGACACCATCCCTGCGCTGGGCCTGGCGCCACAGGCCCCAGGGGAGGAGGTCACCAGGCTCTCCAACCTGGGCTCTCCCGGAAAGCCTGCTGGCTTCTCACCTCACCATGTCCCCAGGCCTGGCCCTTATCGGTATCAAAGCCGGTCATTTGGCCTTTACCTGGTCCCATTTTCTTAATTCCCAGAGGATTCTGGACCCTTGAAGAGGGGGTACAGGTAACTGCGCCCCTCAAATACCCCCAACTGCAGCAACTAAACGCCAAGCCCTCCGGGCCACCCAGGCTGCACGCCTCAGCGTGCCGTCTGGCCAGCCTGAGAAAGGGACCCGGTTCTCTCCTTTCACAGCTAAGCGCTCAGAGCGAAGCTCGGGAAAGTGACTGGCCGAAGGTCTCACACAGGGTGAGCGACGTCACAGGCTTCTCTCCAGACGTGAACACCCGCAGGCCGCCCACGGGGCAGGGGGCCGTCCGCAGACCCACACAGCTCATCTCTCCACAGTCCCAGTGCTCGGCCGTGCACACCCCAACACAGGAGAGGCAAAGGGGACACGGGACGGGACGGGGACTTCCAGGAGGAGTGCAGGGAAAGGACATGCAGCATGTGTCCAGCCCCACGGACTCGGCGGCATCTGCATGTCCTGGGAGACCACAGTTTAGAGGCCCTCAGAGACAAGAGCCTCCCTGGAGGAGTCCGACTCGGTAGGGCCCCAGGATTTGTCCTGAGCCTTTGACCTTATAAGCAAAGCTTAGGTCGAATTAGCATGTTGGCAAGGTCCTGCTGTTGTAAGGCCCCCGCCCCCCAACCTATGAGCAAAGCTTGTGTCACCTCAGCATGTTGGCAAGGCCACTTGTTGTACGCTCTAGAGACTGCAGTAGCCTTGCTGGGAAGCAACCGCCCTATGACTCCCTGATATACTACTATAAAAGAATTACATAGCTCTCTTATACATCCTGAGTATATGATAAGATTTTCTAAAAAGTCCCCTGACCGCTTTCCTTTGCCCTGACCACTTGCCTATTTTAAGCCAAAATTAACATATGTTAGGTTAAGTTAGTATAAGCCAAATTAGCATTGGTAGCATATATAGTTAGTTTAAGGCTAGTTGTACATAAATACCCCCTCGTTAAAGCTGCAGGCCAAAGTTAACTTATATTAGGCCAAATTAGCATATCCACCATCATGACAGGGACTTTAAGATGAAGCACAAAAAATTCACCGATTAACAGACAAATAATTTAGCAAATAAAATACAGGGACCCATGGGTTAATAGAGGACGGACAGATTTGGCTAACAGTGACAGGATAAATAAACCTGAAGGCTCTAGGAATTATTTTAGCTAAAAGTTCTTATTTGGTTTGAGCAAGCAACAGATAGTACTTAACTACAAACAGTTTTTCCCCTGTAAGCTGTTAACTATGAAAAACTGCTTATAAAACATCTTGTGTTGTCTCCTGAGCTACAAGATCTTTTCATGTAAAAAGGCCCTGTCCGGTAATCAAGACTTAAGAAGAATATTCACCAAATAGACTCCTTTATTCTGAAAACTGTGTTTGGCTTTACCTATTCAAACAAAACAGTGCATTACGTTTTATGATTCCTGTTTTCATACTTTGTATACCCTATTTCTTAGAGTAAAACTTCTATTTCCCCCTCACCCCTCCTACTCCTGTAAGACATCCCTCAATAAGTACATGTGTTTAACAGGCGCTAGGGCTGTGGTCTGGAGCTGGCTCTGGCTGTAGCCAGCTAAAAATATACTAAGGAGCACTGATTTAGCCTAATTTTATTCACCTGTGCCACCTCCGATGAAATAACCCACCCTCACCGAGGCTAGACCCCGGCACCCTCCCAAGGCAGCGGACACAGGGAGACCAGCAGAGTGGGCTGGATCCGGGGCTGCTGCACACAGCTCTGGGCTGCGGGCTCTAACACAGCTGCAGGGTCTTCGGCTTCCTGAACCCTGACCCCTTCTCCAGGCCACCCCTGCACGCACGGCTAGCGTCTGGCCAGCTCCACGGGCAGTCATGCATGGCACTGCAGACACACACACAGAGGAGGCCCAGAGAGGTCAAATAAGGAACCCTGGGTCACACAGCAGGTGGGCAGAAGTTCGCCGGAAGTAAAGGAAGGGGGAAGGAGGAAGGACGAGAGAGGAGCTCACCATGGGGCAGGTCCGCAGGTGCCCGGGTGCCAGGGTGGATCCGCACCAGCTCCCACTGGAAGTCGTCATCCTGGGCCTGACTGTAGTCACAGGGCACTGCTGGGTCACTCACCTCCTCGAAGGTACAGCCAGCTGTGAAGGCAGGCATGCTGAGTCCAGGCTGGACAGCCAGCCAGGAGGGCTCCAGTCACCACGCTGCTCCACTCTCCCGCCCCTCGAAGGCCCCCTTCCCACTGCTCCCTCCCATTGGCAAAGCCCTCTCCTCTCCACCCTCTCCTTCTACTGTCCCCTCCCCACTGTCCCTTCCCACTACCAACACCCCCATGGCCCACTTCCCAATGCTTCCCAGGAACCCCCACAATGGCCAACCACCCAGCAAAGACCCCCCCTAGCTCAAAACTATCATTAATACACTATCACTGGAACCACCCCACACCACGTGAGAGCAGGAGTTACCCCCATTTTACAGAATACGAAACTGAGGCCTGACGGGGCCAAGGGGTTCCCTCAGGGTCACAGAGCTAGCCAGTCAGAGATGGGGTTTGGACCCAGATCCCCCGACTGCCGCTCAGTGCTCCAGCACCAGGCCCCACATCTTCGCATAGACACAGGCAGTGGGCCCAGGCCTGGCAGGGTCTGGAACGCCCCAAGCCAGTGTGACAGTCTCTCAGCTGAGGGCAACAGGTAGCATGGTCATTAAGGTGCTGGAATCCCACATGGCCGACCGCGGTTCAAGTCCCAGACCTGGTGGTTTGCTTTCTTGCTTTCCCTTTTTCTCTCTGACTCTCTATAGTTGAATTTTAAAATAACAATAATAAATAAAACAGCCTTGGGGCCAGCACGTGGGGCGGTGGTGGTTAAAGCACTGGGCTCCCACAGGGTTGACTGAAGTTCAAGTCCTGGACCCGGCAGCTTGAAATTCACACCAGGAATATGTGTGTGCCCACAATCCTGAGAGGAGGGTGGAGGAGACGGGATTGTGGTGTGGACACCCCCCAGAAGGTGCTTTGTCACTTTCCCTCTCTCTCTCTCTCTCTCTGACGAGCACACATGCCCTACGGTAAAAATCAAAATAAAATAAAATGAAGTGACAGAACCGCCGGCCCCTAGCTTCTGGTAAGCCTAGAAGAGTGCCCCGCACCGCCAGGGCAGTCTCGCTCAGCCCACAGCTGGCCAGGCGCCCTCGCTCCCACTGGCAGGAGTCAGGGACACAGTCACTGCAGGCATGGGCCACGTGAAAGCACAGCCATGAGTGGGCGTGTGGACACCGGGGTGGACAGCAGGTGGGTGGGGCATGTTGACAGCGAGGTGGACAGTGGGCAGGGCGGGGCGTGTGGGCAGTGAGGTGGACAGCAGGTGGGGGGCATGTGGACAGCAGGCGGGGCGGCGATGTGGGCAGTGAGGTCTTCGGCTTCCTGACCCCTGACCCCTTCTCCAGGCCACCCCTGCACGCACGGCTAGCGTCTGGCCAGCTCCACGGGCAGTCATGCATGGCACTGCAGACACACACACAGAGGAGGCCCAGAGAGGTCAAATAAGGAACCCTGGGTCACACAGCAGGTGGGCAGAAGTTCGCCGGAAGTAAAGGAAGGGGGAAGGAGGAAGGACGAGAGAGGAGCTCACCATGGGGCAGGTCCGCAGGTGCCCGGGTGCCAGGGTGGATCCGCACCAGCTCCCACTGGAAGTCGTCATCCTGGGCCTGACTGTAGTCACAGGGCACTGCTGGGTCACTCACCTCCTCGAAGGTACAGCCAGCTGTGAAGGCAGGCATGCTGAGTCCAGGCTGGACAGCCAGCCAGGAGGGCTCCAGTCACCACGCTGCTCCACTCTCCCGCCCCTCGAAGGCCCCCTTCCCACTGCTCCCTCCCATTGGCAAAGCCCTCTCCTCTCCACCCTCTCCTTCTACTGTCCCCTCCCCACTGTCCCTTCCCACTACCAACACCCCCATGGCCCACTTCCCAATGCTTCCCAGGAACCCCCACAATGGCCAACCACCCAGCAAAGACCCCCCCTAGCTCAAAACTATCATTAATACACTATCACTGGAACCACCCCACACCACGTGAGAGCAGGAGTTACCCCCATTTTACAGAATACGAAACTGAGGCCTGACGGGGCCAAGGGGTTCCCTCAGGGTCACAGAGCTAGCCAGTCAGAGATGGGGTTTGGACCCAGATCCCCCGACTGCCGCTCAGTGCTCCAGCACCAGGCCCCACATCTTCGCATAGACACAGGCAGTGGGCCCAGGCCTGGCAGGGTCTGGAACGCCCCAAGCCAGTGTGACAGTCTCTCAGCTGAGGGCAACAGGTAGCATGGTCATTAAGGTGCTGGAATCCCACATGGCCGACCGCGGTTCAAGTCCCAGACCTGGTGGTTTGCTTTCTTGCTTTCCCTTTTTCTCTCTGACTCTCTATAGTTGAATTTTAAACTAACAATAATAAATAAAACAGCCTTGGGGCCAGCACGTGGGGCGGTGGGGGTTAAAG